GAAATGGTATAAGGGCGTGGGAGCAGGGGGGTGGAGGAGGGGACAAACGCAATAGAGCAATTGATTGTGGTCAAGTGAAAGTGGTTTATTCCGTTATGTGTGGGAGAGCTACCACAGCCTAATAGCTTAACCTCATGCACATCAGAAACAGGTAGCAGGGGGGAGCGTGGTTACCAGAAGCGCGCGTGGTTACCAGAAGCGCGCGTGGTTACCAGAAGCGAGCGTGGTTACCAGAAGCGAGCGTGGTTACCAGAAGCGAGCGTGGTTACCAGAAGCAAGCGTGGTTACCAGAAGCGAGCGTGGTTACCAGAAGCGAGCGTGGTTACCAGAAGCGCGCATGGTTGCGCAGGCCGATGCATGTGGAGACCCAGAAGCAGTGGTGATCGAAGCGCAGCACACAGCGGCCGCAGTCGTAGCAGTGCTTGGCGCGCACTGGTTGCTGCACTCGGCAGTACGGGCACCACCGCCGCGCACTGCTGGGATTGAGAAGGTGGGGGGGGGAGTGGAGGGAGGAACTTGAGGTAGGCACTACCATGGGCAGGAGAGAGTGTCGGAAGCTATTGCAGAGAGATGGGGGTTGCAAGAGATGCAGCGCAGGAGGCAAGAGAGAGATGACGTGGTGTGCGCGAGAGGGAGGGAGTGGTGGGGAGACCTGAATTGGGAGACGAGGAAATTTGACTGCGCTGCTGTGAGTCGAGATGGCTGTGCTGGCAGGGGCAGCAGCAACAATCTTGCCCCTCCTTCCCTCCCTTCAACACCCCCTCCCTCCCCCTCTTCTCCCCCATCACCCTTATTTCCCACCCTCGCAGCACCCCACGCCCGTGCCCCACAGCAGCTACGTCCCTCCCACTCTCCCTCTGCAGCCTCCGCCCCTCTCTCTACGTCATCGCACGGTGCATCCGCCCCATCACCACACCAGCGGCACCCCCTGTCCCCGCACCACCTGCACCCCACGTGCCCGCACCACCGGCAGCCGGGCAGGCAGGGGGCGAGCAGGGCCCCTGGGCCCTGCTCGCCCCCTGCCTGCCCGGCTGCCGGTGGTGCGGGCACGTGGGGTGCAGGTGGTGCGGGGACAGGGGGTGCCGCTGGTGTGGTGATGGGGCGGATGCACCGTGCGATGACGTAGAGAGAGGGGCGGAGGCTGCAGAGGGAGAGTGGGAGGGACGTAGCTGCTGTGGGGCACGGGCGTGGGGTGCTGCGAGGGTGGGAAATAAGGGTGATGGGGGAGAAGAGGGGGAGGGAGGGGGTGTTGAAGGGAGGGAAGGAGGGGCAAGATTGTTGCTGCTGCCCCTGCCAGCACAGCCATCTCGACTCACAGCAGCGCAGTCAAATTTCCTCGTCTCCCAATTCAGGTCTCCCCACCACTCCCTCCCTCTCGCGCACACCACGTCATCTCTCTCTTGCCTCCTGCGCTGCATCTCTTGCAACCCCCCATCTCTCTGCAATAGCTTCCGACACTCTCTCCTGCCCATGGTAGTGCCTACCTCAAGTTCCTCCCTCCACTCCCCCCCCCACCTTCTCAATCCCAGCAGTGCGCGGCGGTGGTGCCCGTACTGCCGAGTGCAGCAACCAGTGCGCGCCAAGCACTGCTACGACTGCGGCCGCTGTGTGCTGCGCTTCGATCACCACTGCTTCTGGGTCTCCACATGCATCGGCCTGCGCAACCATGCGCGCTTCTGGTAACCACGCTCGCTTCTGGTAACCACGCTCGCTTCTGGTAACCACGCTTGCTTCTGGTAACCACGCTCGCTTCTGGTAACCACGCTCGCTTCTGGTAACCACGCTCGCTTCTGGTAACCACGCGCGCTTCTGGTAACCACGCGCGCTTCTGGTAACCACGCTCCCCCCTGCTACCTGTTTCTGATGTGCATGAGGTTAAGCTATTAGGCTGTGGTAGCTCTCCCACACATAACGGAATAAACCACTTTCACTTGACCACAATCAATTGCTCTATTGCGTTTGTCCCCTCCTCCACCCCCCTGCTCCCACGCCCTTATACCATTTC